TAAGCTGATGAACAAGGACTGATCCAGAGACGGAGAGGCATTGATTGGACTGTCGGGACTTGGAGGGAAGGTAGGGGAGGGGGGGGTAAGGGGGAAAGATCAACCAAAGGACTTATATGCAAGCATATAGGCCTAATCAATGGACATGGACAACGGGGGGGTGAGGGCATGAGCGGGGGGGGTGGGGGGGTAGAGGGTAACGTGGGGACAAGGACACATATGTAATATCTTAATCAATAAAAAATATATTAAAAAAAAAAGAACCAAAAAAGAAAAAAAAAAAGAAAAGATACTCTTCATCATTAGCCACTAGGGAAATGTAAATTAAAATCATAGCGATATTCTGCCACCCTTATTAGAATGATAAAATAAAAGACTGGCCATACTAAGTATGAGCAAGGATATGAATCAACTGGAACTTTCATACATTGCTAGTGGCAATATAAAATACATCTGACCAGTCACTCTACTTCTAGGTATTTAGAACAAACAAAAGCATATATCCATACAAAAACTTATACACAAATGTTCATAGCAGCTTTGTTTTTAAGAGCCCCAAACTGGAAACAATCCAAACATCTCTCAACAACAGTTGGATAGGGAAATTACAGCACATCCATAAAATGAAACCCTATTTAACAATAAAACGGAAGGAACTGTTGATACCCACAACATGGATCAATCCCAAAATAACTATGTTCAGTGAAAAAAGCCAGACAAAAAGGAGTACATATTGTATGATTCCATTTATAGAAAATGGAAACTAAGCTATACTGACAGAAAGCAGATCAGTGGTTGGCTGGGGCTAGGGTGAGGGCAGGAAGGAGGAATTACAAAGAGGCATGAGGAAAACTTTGACGGTGTTGGGTCTATTAATTATCTTAAATTTGGTGATGGTTTCTCAGGCTATAGATAAGTCAAACTTAACAAATTATACACTTTAAATATGTGCCTTTTACAGTATTATCAATGATGTATGTCAGCCCTGGCCAGTTTGGCTCAGTGGATAGAGCATCCACCCACAGACTGAAGGGTCCCAGTTCGATTCCTGTCAAGGGCATGTACCTTGGTTGCAGGCTTGATTCCCGGCCCTGGTTGGGGCACATGCAGGAGGCAACCAATTGATGCATCTCTCTCACATCAATGTTACTTTCTTTCTATCTCTTCCCCTTCCCTTCAACTCTCTCTAAGAAATCAATGGAGGGGGATTAAAAATGGTGGCATCTACACAATGGAATACTACACTGCTGTAAAAAAGAAGGAACCCTTAACCATTTACAACAACATGGATAGACCTGGAGAGCATTATGCTAAGCAAAATAAGCTAGTCGGAGAAAGATAAATATCACATGATCTCACTCATTTGTGGAATATAATGAACAACATAAACTGATGAACAAAAATAGAGCCAGAGAAAAAAATATTTTAGAATATAATAGAAGTAATCCTGTTATTTGCAGATTTTTAATATTTCCTATAACATTTGTGATATTATATTATGTTAGCACAGTTTTGGTAATATTATTATATTTAAAATCTTTTTTTCTTGAAATATTAATTGCATGTAATATTATATTTAAAATCATTTTTATTGAAATATTAATGTTTACTGCATGTAAATAGCTAATTATTTTGTATCTACAATCTGGTAATAGATTTATTTTGTATATTGAAAAACATAAAATAAAAAAACAAACAAAAAGAAATCAGTGGAGCCCTAGCCAGTTAGGCTCAAAGGATAGAGCGTCGGCCTGGATACCAAAGGGTCCCGGGTTTGATTCCGGTCAAGGGCACGTACCTTCGTTGCAGGTTCCTCCTCAGCTGGGGCCCTGGTCAGGGCTTGTGCAGGAGGCAACCAATTGTTGTTTCTGTCTTTCCCTCTCTTCCACTCTCCCTAAAAATCAATGAAAAAATATCCTTGGGTGAGAATTAACAACAAAATAATAATAATATGCCAAAAATACCTGACATTAAAGCTGTTAAAAATAATATATTTCTAACTTCCTTTTTAATATTTTACCTTCCTCTTCACCAGATCCTATAAAAGGGCCCATAACCACCCAATACCACTATAGACAGGGAGAGTGGAAATAGTAGTAGAAATAAAGATCTTAATTGATTGCAATGAAAATATTTACAAATTTTACAAAAACAGACACCCATCTGAATACATTACTAGTACTTCTCCCAGGGCCTTGGAGGATGCCTATGCAAGTCAGGGACTGATGGAGATGACAAGGAACATCTAAGTGTTCCTTGGGTTTGGAGGAGGTGGGGATGAGCATGAGGATCCAGCAGAGGAATGGTCTTCCAGTTCCTTAGGCTCAAGACTGTGGTTTGGATATAAAGCAGATGGCCTTGTTCTGAGGTCACAAGCTAGTAAGGCCTGAGGCTATATCAATTACACAAGGAATGAGGCAAGTTTTTAAAGGTCAGTAGCACCATCCTCTGGCGTTTATGCATGATCACCCAACACAGATCTGTCTCACCACTCCGGAGATGTATCAGTGTGCTGAGGCACAGGAGTGTAAGACAAGATGTGGATTCCATTACTGTGCTGCTACTGTAACTATTTGCTAATCTGTTTCTTGAGGCAGATCATATCATCTTTGGGTATTGTTTTCAACAACAGTAAAATAAAATAACAAGAATTACCTATTGATGGCATATACTAAGATCTTCTCATAGAAATAATTTTTATCCTGTCTGAAATCTGGCTGATCTCCTCCATGATCTGAAGTGTATTTTGCAGTCAGAAGAAAGAAAATAGGGAAGTAAAAAAGAGAATTAGATGGCATAGACAGGTGACTCCAGGTGGGGCAGCACTCCAGCACTGGCGGGGGCTGCTGACATTTTTCCCTCATGCCAAGGAAACCTCACTGGGCCTTAGAAGGAGTCCTGAAAGTTGAGCCTTATTTGCTTCAAGTTGAATCTACCTGTCTAGAAGCTTTCTATTACTTTCTCCCTTGCCTCCCCCCCCCCCCCCCAATTATTTGAAGTTATCATTTACTGGGTATTTACTTTGTGCCAGCCACATATGTGCTTGTCAATTTTTCTCAACCTTGTTAACACATTAGAATTATTTAAGAAGCTTTTTTCCCCCAAATATATTTTTATTGATTTCAGAGAGGAAGGGAGAGGAAAAGAGAGATAGAAACATCAGTGATGAGAGAGAATCATTGATCAGCTACTTCCTGCATACCCCACACTAGGGATTGATCCTGCAACCCAGGCATGTGCCCTGACCAGGCATCAGACTGTGACCTGCTGGTTCATAGGTCAATGTTTACCCACTGAACCACGCTGGCCAGGCCTAGCATCCATTCTTGTGAATTACTTTTAGATATGGGGAGGATGGAAAATAGGCAAATTATTTTTTGTGTTTAAAAGAAAAAGAAGTAGAATTTCCTATTGCTTTAGTTAGCCAAGATAAATGTTCCAATTGGAAATTATAGTTTATTATACACTAGAGGCCCGGTGCATGAAATTCATGCACGGGGGAGAGGGGCCCCTCAGCCCAGCCTGCACCCTCTCCAATCTGGGACATCCCTCTCACAATCCTGGACTACTGGCTCCTAACCGCTCACCTGCCTGCCTGCCTGGTCACCCATAACTGCCCCCCCTGCTGGCCTGATCACCCCTCACTGCCTCTGCATGCCAGCCTGATCGCCCCTAACTGCCCCCAGCTGCCGGCTAGGTCACTCCCAACTGCCCCCTCCCTGCTGGCCTGGTTGCTCTTAACTGCCCCTGCCGGCCGGGTCACCCCTTACTGCCCCCCCCTCGCCAGCCTGGTCACCCCACACAGCCTGCTCTTCAGTCGTTTGGTTGTCCCTCACTAATCCCCCTGGTGGCCTGGTCGTAGGCAGCCATTTTGTGAGGGCGTGAGGGTTAATTTGCATATTACCTCTTTATTATATAGGCTGTGTCATTATTAATTTTTGAGTACTATGTATAAGACATGGACTTGGCATTGTGGACAGATACAATTAAATTTTTCTCAGTATCTTTTTCTTTTGTCTAGCCTACCTTGCCTCCAACAAATACAGTGGCCAGAATAAGGCTATTGCAGCCAGAAAGATCTGGATTAAATTTTTTCTCTGTCACTTATTAGTTATTGGGTACTTTTTAGTACATTTGGTTCTGTCCACAAAGACATTTGGTCCATATCAAATGTTCCTTGATATTTGGTCGTCAAAAAGGTCCATGCTTAGAAAACATCCCTGGGTTAAAACAGCCCATCACATTTATTTATGCTTTTGATTTACAGGATTAATACATAAAAAATACTATCATGTTTTTAGTGCTCCAAAAAATGTGACAGTCTAGTTTAGAAAGGTTTAGAAGCAACATAATCTAGTGGCAGAAATACAGACTCTTAAACCAGACTATTTGGATATGAATCCCAGCATTACTATTTACTAGCTGTGTGACTTGTAGTGAGCTATTTAACCTGCATGGACCTTACTGATGAACAGAATAAACTGGTGATTATAATAGAATCAGGGGCATAGAAAGGGAGTGTACTGACTATTCTTGGGGGGGGAAAGGGGTGTGGGGGATGCGGGAAGAGACTGAACAAAAATCGTGCACCTATGGATGAGGACAGTTGGCAGGGGGGTGTGGACAGAGGGTGGGGTGGGAACCGGGTGGAGGGGAGCTATGGGGGGAAAAAGCAACAACTGTAATAATCTGAACAATAAAGATTTAATTAAAAAAAATGAATCAACAGTATTGGATAACAATGTAATTCTCAACTCAGAAGCTGCCTCAAGATTAGGTGCATCTTCAGTTAATGTAACAGGAAGGGTGGTGTGGGAACCAGGTAGAGGAGAGCTATGGTGGGAGGGGGGGGAGGAACATCTGTAATAATCTGAACAATAAAGATTTTTTTTTAAAAGAAGCAATAGATTTTATCTTATTAATTGCATCCCCTCACAAATAGACCTCAGGTCACCAGATGTGTAGACACAAAGAGATTTTTTGTTGTTTATAGTCTTTAATTGAAATGATAAAGGAAATAGATTTAAAAACAAAACCAAATAGCTATTTCAGGTCTAGATTAAGAGGTGGCACCAGGTGTGGGACTCACATTTTGAGTGGCCACCTGTGGTGCGACTTCGATGATCCAGGGTTTGTCTATGATTCTGGCTGTACAATTGCGCTTCTCTACGATACCTATAATCCATGCTTGGTGACCTCCACCATATTTGGGAGACTTTATCTCTGCACAGAACCGAGCTTCTTGCTCACATGGAAAACAGATTAGAAGGCCTCCTGATGTCTCCAGGCAGGTCCCATGCATGAGGCCAAACATGTTTCCCCAGGCCTTGCTCACAGCAGCCATCTTGGCCAGGACAGGGAGGTTGTGAATCACAAAGGGCACCTCGTTCCTCTGCTGTTTAGCTAGGTTCTGTGCATGGCCCAGAATTCCAAAGCCAGTGATATCAGTGGCAGCATGTCACTGAACGTGTGCATGAGTCCAGTAGCTGTTCTGTTGAGCCTTGCCATATTCATCATCGCCTCCTGGTATGCCAACTCCACATCTTCTTGAGTGACCACTAGTTTAATTTTATTCCACTTTTCAAGAATATCCAACCACTGGTGCACAGCCACGGTCACTTGTGTCCCCAGGGGCTTTGTCAGAACCAGCATGTCCCCAGGCACTGCGTTATCTGGCATGAAGAATTCATTGGGCTGGCAGACAGTTGTAGCCACTCCTCCCAAAACAATCCAGGGGTTTACCACTGTTTGTCTGCCCGTTACAGACGCTTCTGCCTCCTCTGCTGCATCTTTAAAACCCTGTATAATTAGGGGCATCACTTTATCCCTCTTCCTACCAGTCATTTCATTACTGATTCCAAGGAGCATCAGCATATTGTCACATTCTGTGACCCACATTGCATAGAGGTCACTGAGTACATTAGCACATGCTATCCTGCCCATCATATAAAGGTCGACAACATGATAAATGTACTCTGTGGTTTGCACCAAGGAAAGACCACTATGCCGCAAAGGAATGACACAAATATCCATCCCAATGCCAAGCCTTGGCATAACTGCTTCCAGAAACTGCTCATCTTCTTGGAAGTGGTTCTCTTGTAAGGATTCCAGCAATTTCTGCAGGACATCTTGGGGCACTTTGCAGCCAGTGCCCTTCAGTTCAGTAAATCTTGTTAATCGGAAGCTCTTGTCCAATTCATAACTTTCAGGGTTAAAAGACTCCCATTAGACATGGTTCTTGGGTGTACACACCTCACAGCTGGGCCCCTCTCCTCCCTCTCTTAGTCCACTGGATTCTTCAGATACACCTACCTCCAAGCCCCTAAGTCCAGGACACCAACAATGGAAGGGACATGGTGAGGTGGGCGCACCGACCAGGCATTCACCATAAAACACACACCGGGGCACAGAAATCCAGAACACCTTGAATCTCAGGCTGTTGCTTTTAAAGGCCAATGGGGCCTGGGTTCTTCGTGCAGCCTGGCAGGGGAGGCAGCACGGTATCGCTGGCAGGGCCATGCCCAAATGCCCCCCAATGTGGCGACAGCAGGGAACCGCATGTGGCCCACTGGCTGGCCCACGCCTGGCCCGGACGCCCAGGTTCAGTCGGCACCACGCCAAGAGACCCTCTTTTCTTTTTAAAAATATTTTTGCTTTTTCCTCCCTGGCTGCTTGAAGTTCAACCATCATCATGAATGACACAGTAACTATCTGAACCAGGAAGTTCATGACCAACAGACTACTTCAGCAGAAGCAAATGGGCACTGACATCCTTCACCCTGGGAAGGCAACAGTGCCCAAGACAGAAATTCTGGAAAAACTAGACAAAATGTGTAAGACTACACCTGATGTCATCTTTGTGTTTGGATTCAGAACCCACTATGTTGGTGGCAAGACAACTGGCTTTGGCATGATTTACGGTTCCTTGGATTACGCAAAGAAAAACGAACCCAAACATAGACTTACAAGACATGGCCTATATGAGAAGACAACCTCAAGAAAACAGAACGTAAGAACAGAATGAAGAAAGTCAGGGGGACTGCAAAGGCCCATGTTGGTGCTGGCAAAAAGGAGTAAAGATTCTTCAGTGACTTCATCTGTGATGATTGTGCAGATTTTTCATAAGAGGATTAATAAACTAAATTTTTATGTGAAAAAAATGTTTTTCATTGATTTCAGAAAGGGAGAGGGAGAGATAGAAACATCAATGATGAAAATCACTGATTGGCTGCTTCCTGTACACCCTCTACTGGGGATGGAGCCCACAACCTGAGCATGTGCCCTGACCAGGAATTGAACCAGCATCCTGGTTCATAGGTCGACACTCAACTATTGAGCCACTCCAGCTGGGCTTCATCTTTATATTTCTAATGTCTGGGACTTGGTAAGCACAAAGAGACAGAAAGAACCTTGTTCATGGAATCCAAATACTCTGATTTGAATCTTCACTACCTACTACTTGTCTTGGAATAATTCATTTAACTTCCAAGACCCTCAGTTCCTGCAATAGTAAAGTCAAGGTAATACCGCTTTCAACTATTGTGAGGATTAAAGGAGACAATAATTTAGGGAAGTGTCTGGAATGTATGTGGTCAATCAATATGGGCTAAAATTTATGTAAATATTTTTCAATATTATTTAAATAAAGGGGTATCTACTAACCTAAGTATCCTATAACAATGTAATTTTGCAAAGTTTATAAGATCTACCATGAGTCTACATGACAAGTTCTTTAAGAAAACAGAGCCCTAACCGGTTTGGCTCAGGGGATAGAGCGTCGGCCTGCGGACTCAAGCGTCCCAGGTTCGATTCCAGTCAGGGGCATGTACCTTGGTTGCAGGCACATACCCAGTAGGGAGTGTGCAGGAGGCAGCTGATTGATGTGTCTCTCTCATCGATGTTACTAACTCTCTATCCCTCTCCCTTAAAAAAAAAAAAGGCAAATACATAGAAAATAAGTTTATGGACTTATTAAAGGAAATTAATTTGCTAGCTCCTTGGCCAGGACTTTTTACTTTGAAATATAATCAGGTGAGATTTAAAAGAAATTATTGATATATGAATTTAAGCATCCTACATGGGACATATGACAATAAATTCACGTTGATACATGCAAAAACTATTCTGGCCCTGGCTGGTGTGGCTCAATTGGTTGAGTGTCATCCTGTGCATCGAAGGGCCAAAGGTTCAATTGCTAGTCAGGGCACATACCTAGGTTTTTGAGTTCAATCTCTGGTTGGAGCATATACAAGAGGCAACTAATGGATGTTTCTCTTTCATATTGATGTACCTCTCTCTCTAAAATCAGTAATAATAGCAATTTTAAAAAAACCCAACCATAACCTCAGGTGAGGATTAAAAACCACCACCAACAAAAAACACAGATTGCTAAGGTCCCACCCAGAGTTTTTTTATTCAGTAGGTCTGGGATGGGGCCTGAGAATCTGAATTCCTGACCAGTTTTCAGGTGATGTTAATGTTGCTGGTCCCTGAACCACACTTTGAAAATAACGGTTAGAGCATTTTTTTTATTTCCCTCCCTACTTCACCTGCCTAATTTCGCATTTAATCTTCAGTCCTTCCCTCACCACAGAACATAGTGCTCCACGGCACAGTGTACTTAACCCTATCACATAACTTATCACATGATATTGTAATGTCCTATTTATGTGTGCTTCTCTCCTACCAGACTATTATCCTCAGCACCGAACACGATGGATAAGCGGGGACTACTGCAAATACATTTCAAGGGGAGAATCTGGTAACATGAGAATCTTACAATTGTGCATTTCCCTTGACCCAGCAATTATATTTCTATGAATTTATTGGAAGTCATCAGGTATATGTATACATTTATGTATATGAATAGTCACCTGGTATTGTTTATACAAGTGAAAAACTGTCCAACCATTTTGGGATTGGTTGCACATCTTATATCTATTAAGTGCCATCACACTCATTAAAAAGGATTGTGTAATCTTTTAATTTACCTGGAATTATAGGAGACATTACTGGGAGAACATACTAGTAATATGATCACATTTTTCTATTAAAAGAAAATGTCACGTGTATGCATGGCAAGTCTCCAAGTTTATATAGCACTGTTAAATTATTTCTGGATGGCGAGATGGAGGCTGCGTTTAACTTTCTTTTACATACGTTTCATGTACTTTGGTACACTTTTGCAGGGAGCAGGCATTTTTTAAAAAGCAGCTTCGTTCTTAGGATCAGAAAATACAAGGAAACTATAGAATCGGGCGAGGATTCCACCCACTCGGGGGCTGAGGTAGGGTGAAGGGGCTCGGCGACCGGAAACACGCCTCGTGGGTCCTCGGGAATTCTGGGTAACGCACGGATACCACATTACCTCACGAAGAAGAAACTTACCATTTAAAAGAAAAATATCTCTTGCCTTTAACACATCTATTAATCTGAGCGCAGAGAGCCGTTTCTATCCTGAGAAGCTAGAAGGGGAGGTGAGGCGAGTGAAGGTTTCTTTCTTTAAAATGAAAAGGCCTTCCTTGCTCTTCCCCGCCCCCCACTTCCCCGCAGTCTGAAGGGGCTTCGAATTCCCCTTGGGGAAGGCCGTTTCCATGGGTGACGATTCGCGGGAATGCGGTGAAAGGAGCGTCGGCAGGTCCACCATTGTGTTCGAATGCCGCCCTGAAGGAGGACGCACGCGCAGTGCGGCTGGGGGCGTACAGGCGAGGCGCGCCCTGATTGGCCCACTGGCTTCAGGCTCGGCGCTCCGAGGCCAGGGCGGGACGGAGCCGCGCGCGTGCGCAGAATCGTCTCTGCGCGCGGGGCAGTTCGTCCCCATTCCCTAGTAGGCGCTTCAGGGAACTGAGCGAGGGGCTTAATGCCTGCCCCGGAGAAAGGAGTGGGTTAAATGTCCTCGCACCCATAACTAGCAGGCTCTTCTCCGAGGCTTGGCCCACTGCGGGCGTGAGACGGAGGAAGAGGCGAGGCCCAGGCGGAAAGGTCGGGTCCGGGGCTGGCGATTGCCTGCGTAGTGAAGGACTGGGCAGGCCGGTGCGGGAGGGGAGCGGGAGGGGGTGGGGGCGAGAGGAGGGACCGCCTGTCCCCACAAAGCCCCGCTAGAGACTTCAGTGAACAGTGAAACCTCTAAGATAATTGTTGAGGAGGTGGAGGGTCACTTAACTAAGACTTGACTAAGCTTAAGCTTGTGTTTGGAGTACGGGTTGGTAACCAACGTTTGGATGACTATATGGTCTTTGGGTTTGAGGTATCAATAGGACATGTCTGTGGAAATGTTTACATGAAGTCTTTTAAGGCAATCTTTGTGAATTACCTGTAAAAAAAAAATGGATCCCTGATTTGTTACTTTAGGACATTCAAAACAATTGGTAAAGTGTTATAAAATTAGTTATCTTCTCTTTGGCTAATCATATATATGATGATTAGCTTATAGTTTTGCTCTAACAGTCTACCATTTCGAGTCCCAGAGAGTGTAGAAGAATCACAAAGTTGTGGAAGAGTAAAACCTCCACTAGAGGCCTGGAAACGGGGTAAAGCTTTCAGATTAAAGATTTCCAGATCACATGGAGAATGATGATCAGAGGCTAGAGTCATATGTATTATTTTAAGGGCTGCCCGACAGTCTATCATACTTATATATTAGGGCAGTAGAGAAGATTATGAGTTTTTTAAACAAGCCTCGGTTTAGCCCCAGCTGGATAGAGTGTAATCCTGCGGATTGGAGGGTCCCAGGTTCCATTCTGGTTAAGGGCACATGGCGGGTTGCGGGCTCCATCCCCAGTAGGGGGCAGCCAATCAATGATTCTCTCTCATCACTGATGCTTCTATCTCTCTCTCCCTCTCCCTTTCTCTCCGAAATCAATAAAAATATATTTTAAAAAACAAACCATAACATGGCTTTCTTAAAAATATGTTTTTAAAAAAACAAGCCTTAATTTAAATTCTAGTTTCCTCAAAACTAGCAGTGTGACTAGAGGTAGTTATTGATGAGCCTTGCTCATCAATAAAATGCTAAGTAATCAGGTTCCCAATACCATAATTTATGTATTATCATAATTTTAATCTGTTAGTAATACCATAATTTTAATCTTTCTCCTCTTTTCTGGACATTTAATATTGTTTCTTGTCAGAGTCTTTATGCTGGAGTCCAAGAATTGTTAGGGATCTGATTTTAGGATCTTGGTCCACAGGCTTTAAAAAAAATTTTTAATGTTCATTTACAGTGATTAAGCCTTAGGGAATTGACTTACAAGGGCTGATTTAAAAATGCCAATTCATTAATAAACTGACCAATACCTCTATTGGTTGCTTAGAATGCATTGTTTTTAGTATTTTACTAAAAGCACACTTCCTATTTCTTCCTTTCTGTCTATTTTGCCTTTTTTTGTGTGTCTTCTTGTCTCTCTGTTTTGAACACTGTATTGTTCATTCCTCTTCAGTTTGTATTGATCCTGAGTGATATAACTTTGGCCATGAAGTATTCCAGAATCCTATTGGCAGAAGTCTGTGTAGGAGGAATGACAGCTGGAGGAAAAGTCACCCAATAGGCATAGGCTCCAAGGAAGGGCTAGCAGTCCAAATAGAAAAGTCCAAGAGAATCAGCAAATATGATTCCCATCTGATGGACAGGGGTAGTATAACAGAAGGGATTTTGAGACAGACAGTGTTTTAGGTTCAGGATCAGGGCAAAAACAGTGACAAGAAGATCCATTTTTGGTGACAGAGGAAGCAGCCAGCTACTGAAAGACAATGGGGAAAAAACAAATCCATTGGGAAATATTGGCAAGATTTACAAGGTTAGGGTTTAAAGTCAGGCTCCAGCCCCCGCAGGGAGCTGAATTTGAAAACCAGTAGTCAGGACTGAGGTTTAGTCTGACAGACTGGCCACATCTTGAGGGAAAGCTACTCATTTGTAAATATGCCCAGGGTTAATTGCCAGGATGGAAGAAAGGACTGTTCTCAGTCCCTCTCACTTGTGCAGAGACAGAAAGCAGCTCACCTCAAGGATCAGTTCAGGAACATGGGAAGGTTTTAGTCATAAAATATGCTGTGCACAAGGAAATGCCTCCATAATAAGTATTATTTATAGTAAAATTGTATAAACTGTTTCCGAGATTTCTTGTTGAAAATCACTATCAGTCAGGATTCAGGAAACAGGTGGTACCATTAAACTGGTAATTAAGGACCTATAATGATAAAAGCATAACATACTTATAGACCAGACAGCTGAACGACCTTCTGGATGTCCTTCTGTACGACCTTCTGTGGACAAAGCCAGGGCTTTGAGGGCTGAGGCGAGCTGCTGCGGCTGTGAGGGCCGAGCCCCTTACACGAATTTCGTGCATCAGGCCTCTAGTAGTTTAATAAAGAGGTTATTTATGCCCTGGCTGGCCAGTGTTGTTCAGTGGTTAAAGCGTTGGCCCTTGCACTGGATTGCAGATTCCCTGCCCTGGTCAGGCCATGTGGCAGAGGCCAAACGATGTGTCTCTTTCACATCGATGTTTCTCTCCCCCTGCCTCCCTTCCTTCTACTCCCTATAAAAGTCAATGGAAAAATATCCTTGGTGAGGATTAATAACAACAAAAGAGTATTTATAAAGGCAAGGTTTAGAAAATACTAGGATGTTGTAGTACCCATGGCTAGTAACAGCAGGGAGCTGATACCATCCCTAAGCTTGAAAAGGGAAGGAATGGTGGCTGAATCCCCTTGAAGACCTATGCTATGACAGCCCGCTGATAGGAGTGGTGATTTTAGCAGAGGGGAACCGCCAACATGGCTATGTGGCAGGGAGGGAGCCAGGGAAATAAACATCCTTTCCTCACTCTTTACCAATTTCCTACCAGTATTAGCCCCCCTCCAGAGTCTCTGAACACAACTAGAAGTCAGAGTGTAAAGTGACACAGTCCATATAGGTCAGCCTCTCAGGGCACAGAGTGGGCTAGAGAATGAATCTGAAGGGAAAATAGATTATCTGTGGTGTGTAGGTTCTCATTAAATCTAACCAAAGTCTCACTTTCCAGGCCTGAGTATCTTGGGTTTTTCATCCTTTTTGCCTGTATCATCAACATCTTGGATTTTAGGCTTACTTTTCTTTGGGGCATATGGTCCTCTATCCACTAAACTCACACCCCCTGTGGAAGAGTCAAAATGAAATCACGTCTGAGCCTCTGAGCTGTCACTTGGTTCAATCAAAGCCACAGCTGCCCCAGAAAAGGAAATCTAGTTCCTATAGAGGGGCAAAGCCTATAGGAGCTCTTCCTACCTCCTTAAGCATGATTACCTGTAATTTAATGAAGGTATAGGCAGTGCTATAAAGCCTGTGAGGAAACAGGATTAGCTCTGGAGGCAGCCCTTCCCCAACTGGAGAAAGGGAGCATGTAGCAAACCCATCTGAAGGTTGACTGTTATTCAACCTATTCTGCCCAACTAGGTGGAGCCTTCATTCAAATTTCCACTGGAGCATAACTATCAGAGAATAATTAAAACTGGCCAAATGGAAGGGATACTCTCCATTGGCAGCTTTCTGCTGTTTTTTTTAAAAAAATGATTGATTTTAAAGAGAGAGAAACATCGAATTATTGTTCCACTTATTTATGCATTCATTTGATTGTTGTATGTGCTCTGACCAGGGATGGAACCCGCAACCTTGGCATACGCAGATGACACTAACCAACTGAACTACCCGCCCAGGCTCTACTGCTTTTTTGGAGTTCTTTAAGAGGTGGAGACTGATTCTGCTCCTTTGAGTGTAGGCGGGTTTAGTGACTCACTTCTAGCAAATAGAATAAGCAGAAGTGATGGTACACCACTTCTAAGACTGGCTAATAAAAAGCATTAGGGCTTCCTTTTTCCTCGCTCTCTTAATGCACTTGCTCTGGGGGAACCAAGCTGCTATGTTGTTGCTAGACAACAAATTTAGACTAGAATGATATATTCAGAAGAAATTATTTTATCTGTAGACCAAAAAACAGCAACACCACCCATTTCATGATGAGTATTTAATTTCTTTCCCCTTTCTGCATTGGTAAAGAAGCAAATGGGTATTTGATTTGCTAATATTAATGTATGAGTCAAGAAATTTTTTAAATGTCTTTTTCTATTTTCTCTACATATTAATAAAAATCTTTAATAGCAGTTATTATCATTTTTAAAAAGCATTAAATAATATGTCTTTACTTAGTTTATTTTAAATTATAGTTTCCCTGCTCACTCAAATATTTAGCACAGATAGCTCCATGGAGATGACAAAATGCAGTTCAAACACAAGTCAATTCCTTTCTTCTCCAGTGTGTGTGATCTGTTTCCATGGAAATTTCATGTTGACTGGGGACTGTAAAAATACTATACGCAAACATATCTCAGAAGCAAACCTTTTTGGAGAATAATCACAATTTAATTTGAGTCACCCCATTAAATTTTTTCAAATAATAGAAAAGAAGACTGTATTCTTCTTTAGCAAAGGCCATTCTGCAATTTCCCTTAGGTCAGTACAGTTAAAGATTATAGGGACTTTAATTTGCCTTTTGATGAGATTAAAATTAAATCTTAATGATTTGGTAAATGTATTCATTCAAAAAAGATTAAGAACTTAATATGAATAAGCAAGGTATTGTTGGAAAGCTGAAAGGAATACAAAGGTGTACACCAACACAATAATGGTGTAAAATGAGATTATTACAGTAAAGTTGACAATGTGCTCTGGGAGTGCAGAGGAGCAAAGGGATATTTATGGTTGTGAAGATCAGGAAATTTTCTTGGGTGAAATGGCAATTGTACTGGATCTTTTTTTTCCTAAATATTGTTATTGATTTCAGAGAGGAGGGGGAAGGAGAGAGAGAAAGAAACATCAATGATGAGAGAGAATCATTGATTGGCTGCCTCCTGCACTCCCCACTCTGGGGATTGAGCCCGAAACCTGGGCATGTCCCTGAACTGAGAATTGAACTGTGACCTCTGGTTTATAGGTTGATGCTCAACCCCTGAGGGATGCTAGCTGGGCTGTACTGGGTTCTAAACAATGAGAAAGTAAGGAGAGGATCTTCCTGGTGAGGGAAATCATCTGATAAAGAACTAAGTTGGGAAAGCAGAGGGTGTGTTTGGGGAATAATGAGAAGTCTATCTGGATGAGATGTAATGGAAACTGGGGGAGAGAAAATGATAATGTAGGGTGTGACTAGGTTTTCTAGGGCCTTGAATGCCATGCTAATTTGAATGTTATGCTCAACAGCAGTAGTGTTAGGTGATAATTATCTGGACTGCCGACAGTTGAATATTGGTAATGAGAAAGTAAGGAAAGGGAATAACTAAAAGGAGTAAGAAAGCATCAAAGTAGCTTGAAGAACTAGCAGGCTTGAAAAATGTTATATTTGCCTGGCCAGTGTGGCCCAGTGGTTGACCATCGAGCTATGAACCAGGAGGTTACAGTTCGATTCCTCATCAGGGCACATGCCTGGGTTGCAGGCTCGGTCCATGCAGGAGGCAGCCAATCAATGATTCTCTCTCATCATGAATGTTTCTATCTCTCCTTTTCCCTTCCTCTCTGAAAATAATAAAACTATATTTTTTAAAAGAAAAGAAAAATGGTATATTTGAGAGATGTGATGGATTTAAAATATGTCCACAAATTTTTGAAGTTCTTTTCTTTAAGAGGTGGAGACTGATTCTTCTCCTTTGAGTGTAGGCTGGATTTAGTGACTCACTTCTAGCAAATAGAGTAAGGCAGAAGTGATGGTACACCACTTCTAAGAATCTATAATAATAAAAGTGTAATATGCTAATTAGGCTGGACGTCCTTCCGGACGTCCTTCTGTACTTCTGGACAAAGCTGGGGCTGCAAGGGACGCCCAGGACCTGGGTGCCAGAGGGAAGGCGGTGCTGGCAGCCGGGGGAAGGAAGGCCTACTCTTGCACAAATTTCGTGCATTGGGCCTCTAGTAGCTAATAAAAGGCATTGGGGCTTCCTTCTTTCTTTCTTTTCTGAATCATTTGCTCTGGGGGAACCCAGCTGCGATGTTGTGAGGAAACTCAAACTTGGAAGTGGATTCTACAGCCACAAGTCAAGCTCTGAATGACATCTTTTTAAAAAATATATTTTTATTGATTTCAAAGAAGAAGGAAGAGGGTGAGAGAGAGAAACTTCAATGACAGAGAATCGTTGATTGGCTGCCTCCTGCACATCCCCTACTGGGGATCAAACTGGCAACTTGGGTATGTGCCCTGACCAGGAATTGAACCGTGACCTCCATGTTCATAGGTCGATGCTCAACCAGTGAGCCACACTGGCTGGGCTGAATGACATCTTGATTGCAGCCTTCTGAGAGACCCAGAGCCAGAATGACCATCAACTAAGCTGATCCTATATTCTACAGGCACTATAAGGTACGTTTTTGTTGTTTTAATCTGCTAAATTTTGAGGTAATTTGCTATGCGGGAATAACTAATGCAGGAGGTGTGGAAATAGAATACTTACAAACATGTTTGGGGGTTGAGAAGAAGGAGCCAATGGAGACTGAGAGAGTGTTGATCCCACAAGAGAAGGGAAATCATGGTTAGGCCAAATTCTGGAGGAAGATTGTAGGGGAGAGGATTGTCAGAAAAGGGTAGAGAAATTATTTTTGGAAAGGAAGAGTGAGGATCAGAAAATAATTTCAGATTGGAAAGATAAAAGGTGAAATCAAGCTGGATGCCTGTGGTTCCTGCAGCAAAGGAGGTCATGTCACTGGCTGAGATGAAGGAGTCTCTGGGATCAGAGCTCCAGGTGAGTAAGTAAAATTTGGAAGAATTGTGAGATATCACATAGAGAGTCAGGTAGAGCAAAGAACATAGTTCTCTTGAGCTGTGCTTAGCACCTTGGAGAATAAGCTGAGAAAGTAGACAGTGAAGTTTACTCAGGATTGGGGATTGATAAGGCAGATATGAAAGACCAAGTGGGCAAACAGTTCTGAGATGCTGGTGTAATTACTGTGGCTGGGCATGAAGGCTAGACTGGGTATAAGGGCACATCTATAATAATGAAAGCATAATATGCTAATTAGATCAGTCGTCCTTCCAGATGAAGCCAGGGCTACAAGGGAAGCTTGGGTCCCGGGTGCCAGAGGAAAGCCAGTGCCTGCAGCCGGGTGAAGGAAGGCCTACTCTTGCACGAATTTTGTACATTGGGCCTCAAGTGAAACTATAAAGGGTTAATGAACTGAGAATATAAAAGAGTGGGTATTCTATGGCAACTATAACCTGTACCACACATTTCACATTTTATTCTAACATTCTTTATATTATCATGTAACTTTTTGGGGAGTATGCCTAGTTGTCCTCATCGGATCATAGATTAAAGGTAGTGACGCTGGTTTATACATTTTGTACTCTCTTAGCAATTAGCGCATTGCTTCATAGGAACTCACATTTGTTGAATCAATGGATAAAATCATTCTAGCTTTCTATGTGTTTCCTACTGAGTTGTTTTCTTCCTTCACAATAAGCATCTGATTGAGGCTAAAGATCTGCTCCTTTTAGATAGTTGAGTGTTTTCCATCCTTGTCTCTAAAGAGACAGGATTTCTGGATGCTTTTAAGAAGCATTATATAATTATGAAAAAAAGGACAATACCTGGTTGGCTAAAAATAATAAGCCTAATTATGCCTATGTGAAACAACCTTGAAATAAACATTGGATGATTTATATTCAATCTGATAAAAATCAGAATAAAAGTAAAAAAGTTTAGAGGGAAAAAAGAGAATAGCATTCTCCTGGAAAATTGGGGAGAGCAGAGGCCTTGGTTTAGAGCAGTGATGGCGAACCTTTTGAGCTCGGCGTGTCAGCATTTTGAAAAACCCTACTTAACTCTGGTGCCGTGTCACATGTAGAAATTTTTTGATATTTGCAACCATAGTAAACCAAAGACTTATATTTTTGATATTTATTTTATATATTTAAATTCCATTTAATAAAGAAAAATCAACCAAAAAAAATGAGTTCGCGTGTCACCTCTGACACGCGTGTCATAGGTTTGCCATCACTGGTTTATAGGAATCACACTGAAGCTTACATCTGGAGTGAGAGGTCTGAGAAGGAGCGTCTGGTTTTCCAAGATTAGCAGTACAAATGGCTCCATAGCCTAAGTGGACATTTATGTATTCTTTACATAGCACACTCTTCTTTCATTGTTTTCCTGGCACTGACAGGCTTGTTCAATTTTGATAAAACTATAAAGAAAAAATTGAAAATAGGCTTCTAAACCACTGAAGAAGGTCACTGATCACAATGATATATAAGTGGTTCTTCAAATTTTTACCACCTGCCATTTTATGTACTTCAGTCACACCCCAACCCACCTTTCTTTCTGTTCAAATTTTTATATATGAGTTAATAAATTAATATTATATGGTGATACAGCCAAGAGTTTGCAGTTCAGTTTTGACAGTCACTATCTTTGTTGATGAGTTTGTTTCTGTAAGTATTTGAATATTTCATTACATTTTGCCCTTCTCATTAAAATGAAGAAAAAGAAAAATGGAAGTGCTAATCCCAGTGATAACAAGTTTAGGTTTCATACACTTAGTACAATTAAGACAAAGATGAAAATTATTTGGCCATCTAAAAGGAACAGAACTTAGCCATAATCAGATGCTCATTGTGAAGGGAAAGAAATCAATGAAAGAATACATATAAAGTGCTAGTGCTAAATTACTGAAAATTGTGTCTGAAATTGAGGTGTGATTAGGGATTTTATAATAATTCTTAAGTCTTATATCATGTTAGTTCTACTTTCAGCCAGTCAAACGTATTTGAAAACATGTTATGTTAGATAAAGAGAAACTGCCTATATTGTATTGTGCTCCAGGAGGCCACATGGAGGTGCCACAGAGGCTAAGGTCAGGGCCAATGGCCAGAGCTGCAGGCCTCCCACCCCTATATCAGCTTTCACCAAAACAAAGTTCCTTTTCCGCTTTCCATTCTGGATTCTGAAAAGCCTTTTTCTTTTCTTTTCTTTAAAGGATTTCTTTCAAAGAAAGAGTTCCCATGTAACAAAAGTCTGAAAATCACTGCCTTACCCTGATACAGTATTTATATATACTGGTTCAGCCTTTTAAAGGGACTATTTGGCAGTAACTTAAAAGTCTAAATATTTGTATTGTTTGACTCAGCAATTTTACCTCTAACAATTACTCTTTATACAAGTAATCATTCAAGGGCACAAAGATATATGTACAGGATATTTATTGCAGCATTGTTCATAATAGAAGATTGAAAACAAAACAAACATTGTTAGCATAATAATATTCCTATATTGGTGTTCTTAAAGGAATGAGATGGAAAGATGTCAAAGTATATTGCTAAGTGGAAAAAGCAAGTTACAAAACAGTATGATTCCATTTGTAGGTCAAATAAGTCAATAAATAAAAGAAAAACATTGGCCTGGCCGTCATGGCTCAGTGGTTGAGCTTCGGCCCATGAATCAGGAAATCATGGTTCGATTCCAGGTCAGGGCACATGCCCGGGTAGTGGGTTTGATCCCCAGGGTGGGGCATGCAGGAGGCAGCCGATCAATGATTCTCATCATTGATGTTTATATTTCTCTCTCCCTCTCCCTTCCTCTCTGAAATCAATAAAAATATATTAAAAAGAAAACCATTACCTTTGATATATGCAAATAGATGACTGTTACTTCTTAAAATTATTACTAAAATTCATAGGTTTAATTGTTTTAGTTATATATTGGATGGCATGATCTTTTTTATTTACATAGATTATTCAACTTTGGGGTTTTTCATAATTGCTCTATCTGAAAAAGTAATCCGTTAAACTTAGCGTATTAGAAAGTAAAAAAACTTGTAAAGATTTCTTATAATTTTATGTTAAGAAGGAAATCAGCAATGACTTAGACTTATGGAATTTAGTCACATGGTGTAACAAAAAAGTTTAGGCCCTCAAACACTCACAAACACAGTAACATTCAAGAGAATAAGCATTTTTGTATGTTAGTGCAATAGGAATTTTCATAATTTAACCTTAGAGAGCTATTCTCTCTTCATTTTTTAATCATTAATTGAGTAGGCCTAAGATAAAAGATTTTGTTTATGGCACACATGTCACAAGGAGCCATGAAATCATTACAGTGAGCCATGAAATCATACAGTTGTATGATTGATAAGATCTTTTACACTTTTACTTTTAAAATATGTTTTCTCTTTATTGATTTTTAGAGAGAGGAAGGGAGAGATAGAAACATCGATTGGCTGCCTCCTGCATGTCCCCTACTGGGGATCAAGCCCACAGGGATCGAACTAATGACCTCTTGGTCATAACTCCATGTTCGACCACTGACCAACACCAGCTAGGCTCTTTTACACTTTTATTTTGAAACATGGAAGATTAAAAGTGGATGTCACAGTGGTCAAGCCAACAAATCCACAGAAAAAGGGGGTGTTCAGCAAACTGCATGTTTCTATAGATATGTGAGGCAGAAAATACCAGGGTAAATTTTACAAATCAGTTAAACCAATAGTACCATAAATAAGAACAGAGAAATGAAAATTACAGATTTCTTAAGTCTCATACCAAATCCTAACAGTGCATTTTAAGCACATTTAAAGACATCCTACTAGAATACATCATGGTTTTACTTCTGTCTTCTAATTAGAAAGACTGTTGTCTCACACTATATATTTTTTATTCCCTGAGAGATTGCAATGGTGAAACTATAGAAAGCACAAGGAATGCTCATCATCTGGAAAGCAACGTAAAACATATGTTGTCATGCAAGAGAGCTCAGGAAATTCACAATGTCATAGACGAAAAAACAGGCTTTCCTAGGAACTAAAAAGCCAAGAGTCTGCAAGAGCAGGCACAGGGGATACAGTGGGCCCAGGGTGCTCTGTTGCACATGTCACAAGTGAGCATTCCATTGAAGGGACATCCTCTCCTCTTTTGCTTTCTCTTCTTCAAGACCAAAGTGCTGAACATCCTTACCAAGGGGGTCCACACAGACTACTTGGTATCAGACTGTCTGGATTTAGATGTCAACTGTCAGGAGTTATCTGAGAGAACCAGATGCCTGTATCTGGATTCCTTGGGTGCCCATGGGAAGTTGCAGCCCCTCCTGCTGAGAGGGAGAAAGCAACCAGTGCCATGAGAAGCCAAATTTGGAAGAAACAGGGAGGGCGTTGGTCACAGTTGGTTCATTGTTTAGGCAACCCAGAGTAACCTGCTGGGGTCATCTACAGACTATCCTGTCTGTTTTACCACTGTCATTAGTCAGTAGCATCATCTTTTTTAAATAAAATTTTTATATAAAATTTAGGGTTCTGGCCCTAGCTGATTTTGCTCAGTGGATAGTGTTGGCCTGTGGACTGAAGGGTCCTGGGTTCTATTCCTGCCAGGGG